ATATTATTAACCTATATATAGGTTTATGAATTCGGAATTCCACAGTGCCTATAGACTATATTATTATATAACTATTTATAGCTATCGCTTATTGATTTCAGATACGGACTAATGACTATTCAGTATTCACAATTCACCACAGCCAAGGTGGAATTTTGGAACAAGTATTTATAATTAATGGTAGAATGGTCTGGAAATAATTTGGCGGGGAGACCGGCCATATAATATTGTGAATTAGCCATTAGGTACCTAATTTTTATTTTATGGACAACTAGTACTTACTACTTACTATATTATCGACTTTCTCGAAGTATGTTCTTAGAGTTTAGGATTATAGAATTTTCATTTCATAATTATACCTAACACGCAATTTTTGCATTGATTTGATGAAAATAAATAATTTATTGTTGAATAGGACGAATAGGTACCTAACCTAATCTGCAGTTACCGATTCTTATTTCTAATTACCTACCTACTTATTATTGTTATTATATAGTTATTATAGTGTTAAAGAATAAACTGCAGTTATTATTTAATATTTATACCTGTATACATGTATTTTAGTTTGAAATGATTGTATAAAAAGTTTTTTTTTATTTTCAAAACTGACCAAGTTAGAGTAAGTCAAAAATTGGATTTATGCATAATATGCATAGCCGTCCCAAGGGGGGGGGGGCAAATGGGGCAAGTGCCCTAGGGCGTCTAAAGTATTATGAATTTAGGAGGCGTACTAGAAATGGATGATAAAAAGAAAAATTTGGTGTTCTTATTTTAGGTATTATTTTTTTGTTTATACTGTAATATCAAAGATGAGTATCTATCAAATTGTATACTATTAAGTAGGTATACAATTATGTAAATAATGTGTTAAATCTTAATGCGACATAACTTCAATAATAATATATTCAATATTTATAAAAACAAATAAAAATATTAATACTTATAAGTTATAAGATTATTAAGATTACAATAGTAATTTATTTAGGCACATGAAATATATTTTAAATATGTATATACATCATTACAATAATTAAGTAATTGTAATATACTTATAAACTAAACTAATTCATATCTTTGGTACCTAGTAGTACCTTTTTTTATTTTTGTGTCTGTCATCACGTTTTAGGACAGTAAAAGTGCTTGGATTTTCTTCAACAGTATCTTTCGGAAAGTCCGAAAGTGAATCTAGTTGGTACTTTGGGGGGGTCAAAAGTAAAAATTTCCCAGTAGTTTTCACAAGCACCGGGAAAAACAACATAAAAATTAAGGAAAAACGGGAATTTTTACGCAAAATCGTTTTTCCAAAAAATCGATTTTGATTTTTGGTGTGACTCTAAAAGAAATGAACGTATATATAAGAAATTTTCACTGGTTGTTTATATTTACATTTTGTATACACGATAACATTTTCAAAATATTTTGATTTATTTTGAACTGCTTAGGGACATTTTCATTTTCCATTTTTTTTTAGTTTTTTTTCTAAAAATATCAATAAAATTTTATTTGTTGGTTGCGAAAAGTTGAAAATTTAATAGAAGGCTTCTAGTATATTGTTTCAAAGGTAGATGAAAAATATTAAAAATCCTAAGTCACAATTTTTTTTTAAAAGCATTTAAAGTTCAAAAATTGACAAAATATGGAAAAATCACGAAAATTAGCAAATTATTTTGAGTTAAGAATTCGTAAAAATTTTTCTTTTTAAATCTAAGATTTGAAAATGTTATACAAGATTCCTTATAAGATTATCTACCTTTATCAAAAAAAAAAAATAAAATTTTTTTAACATTGGATTTTCACTCGATTTTTCATGTAGCGATTTCCTTATTTTGTTGTAATTCAAAAACGAAGAACTATAGATACATGAAAATTTCACTGAATGTTTATACTAGCATTTCCTATACAGTATACACCATACAATTTTGAAAATATTTTGACTCTTTTTGAGCTGTATTTTCAGTTTTCAATTTTTTTAGTTTTTTTTTCTATCAATATCAATAAAATGTTATTTGTTGTGTAAAAAAGCGTGAAAATTAATGCAAAGCTATGACAATATGTCATATTGTTACAATAGCAGTTGAAAAATATTAAAAATTCATGGGCATATTTTTTTTTATAAGCGTTTAAGTTCAAATTTGGACGAAATTTCATAATAAAAAACCTAGAATAACTATTTTAGTTATTTTGTTGCCATTGTATAATATCATTCCTGGGTACTTGATACTTCTAAAGTACATTATATATCTATGATAGTATCAAGGTTTGTTGTTGATGTGTAACGCTTTATAAGAACCTAATGGATATTGTGATACGATTAATTTGGAATTTATTATAGGTACCTATTATTGATCAATTTTTTTTTTAATACTACAGATATGTATATATGTTAAAAATGTATATAGATGCAAAGCAAACATTATAGTGTAGGTATAATAAACAATAATACATATAAGAGTAATGGATAGTAAAAATAATATAGGAAGAGAATCTATCCTATGACTGTGGCGTATCCAGAATTTTTTTTCTGAAGGGGGGGGGTTTATATTTGGACGTGATGTCAAATACCAATGTTGACCCTTCGTGTCTTCTTTACCGTTTGTTGTATGATAGCTGTGTTATCAATTGTTCATACAACATACATATAGTCAGTGTTAAGCACAAGTGAATGTAAGCCATAAGCACGTGTTAAGTTACAATAAATAAGTTACAAATAATAAATAATACGTTTAGTGTATAACATAAAACATGGCGCAGTCGAATGGTCAAGTAGTTCCTGCTCCGTCGCCACTAGATATTAGTGAACCAAGTATGGTAATACGTAATTTAAGGTTATTTAAGTCAAAATTTCAACTTTATTTATTGGCCAATGACTTAGAGGAAAAGTCAGATAAACTCAAAGTTGCAATACTTTTAAGTGTAATTGGTGATGAAGCATATGAGTTTTTAGAATCTATCAATATTACTAGTGATAATAATCCTGGCTGTGTTAAAAAAATATTTCATGAAATACAACAGTATTATGAACCTAAGGGTAATGTAATAATTGAACAATTTAAATTTTTCCGTCGTTATCAGGAAGAAGGGGAAGCGTTTGACAAATTTTTAAGAGACATACGCAATCTAGCCAAACGCTGTGAGTTTGGTAACCGGGAAGAGAATATGGTACGAATCAGGCTAGTACTGGGTGTCAAAGACTTGGGTCTACAAGAAAGACTCCTAAGAGCACCAGATCTTAGTCTTGAGAAAACTATAGATCATTGTAAATCCGCAGAATTGGCTCGATATCAACAGCACTTATTAAGTGATAATGGAGGATTAGTTGAAGAGAAAAATGTTCAAAAAATTTATGGCGATAAATCGAATAATCTTAAAAATTGGAGGAAGCAGTCAAACTCAGCACAAGTAGAGAAGCTGTCAACATCAGATACTGATCAGTATAACTGTAAGAAATGTGGGTATAAACATGGACCAAGAAGCTGTCTGGCATATGGAAAGAATTGTGTCAATTGTAGATAGACCAGGTAAATGGTCTAGTAATATTGTTATTGTTGAAAAGCCCAATAAAAAATTGCGGATCTGTTTAGATCCATCAGAATTAAATAAAGTCATAATTCGAGAACATCATTTAATACCAACAATGGATGAGATTAGAATGAGCTTAAGTAATAAAAAGTGGTACTCATTGTTAGATCTTAAAAATGGGTTTTGGCAAATTAAGCTGTCTAAAGAGTCCAGCAATATATGTTGCTTTAGTACGCCTTTTGGATATTATAAATTTACTAGGCTTCCATTTGGGCTGTCATGTGCACCTGAAGAGTTCCAAAAACAGAATCAAAAGTGTTTTGGGGATATTGAAAATATAAAAATTTATTTTGATGACATATTAATTGCTGCTGAGGATGAAAGAACACATGATATAGCGGTAAAGTCTGTATTGCAAAGGGCAAAGTCTGTTGTAATAAAATTTAATGCAGACAAGTTTATCTATAAAAAGAAAGAAATCAATTATTTAGGTATGATTTTTAGTATGGAGGGAATGAAAGTTGATCCGGACCGAGTTGAGGCGATTAACAGTTTAAAAGAACCTAAAAATAAAGTAGAACTACAACGAATCATAGGAATGTTCAATTTCCTTAGGCAATTTATACCAAACATGTCACAATTGATTGCTCCCATAAGAGAGTTGTTAAAGAAAAATGTGCACTGGACATGGACTAACATTCATAGTGAAGTTATAAGACAAGTGAAACACATAATTACTAACTCACCTGTCCTTGTTAATTTTGATCCAAAAAAGGAAATAAGTATTCAATGTGATAGCTCTAGTAGTGGACTAGGTTGCTGCTTAATGCAAGAAGGAAAGCCAGTAGCATTTTCCTCTAGGAGTTTAACAGATTCAGAAAAACAGTACCCACAAATTGACAAAGAAATGTGAAGTATTTTGTTTGCGTGTCGCAAATTTCATAATTATATTTATGGATATCATACAAAAATTTGGACGGATCATTCACCATTAAGAGGACGCTACACCCGCATGTGTTGTCTCCGTCTTACAAATGTACAACATAGCAAAAACTGTTTTGCGCGGGAAAGAACCGAGAAGGCTACAGTCATAACTAAGAAACAAAATTTTCACCACACAAAAAGGAGAACTTTGGCTGTGCAACGTCGTTTTTATTTTTTTGATATCATTTATATGAAAAAAGTTCTTACTGTTTCAAAAACCATTATTGTTTGTGTTTTTCAAACTTAAAAAACTTTTTTCATATAAATGATATCAAAAAAATAAAAACGACGTTGCACAGCCCTTTGGCTCCTTTTTGTGTGGTGAAAATTTTGTTTCTTAGTTATGACTGTAGCCTTCTCGGTTCTTTCCCGCGCAAAACAGTTTTTGCTATGTTGTACATTTGTAAGACGGAGACAACACATGCGGGTGTAGCGTCCTTTTAACATCAATTTATAAAAAAAATTTTCATAAAGTTATATCAAATAGATTACAAAAAATGGAACTCAAGCTATTGATCTATGATTTAGAAATTAATTATTTACCAGGCAAAGAAATGCATATTGCAGATCTGTTGTCGAGAAATTATATTAATAATGAATTTGACAAGGAAATTAATATTGAAGGAGTAGTACATTCAATTAATAATACTATAAATGTTTCGAAAATAGCTGAGGCCACAAAGCATGACCTAGTTCTAGTGAAAATTTTAGAATACTATAATGAAGGTTGGCCAAAGGATAAAAATAAGATTAGTGGCGATATTCAACATTATTGGAGTCTTCGTAATGATATTGTTGTTGAAAAAGGAGTTCTTTATGTTAAAAATAAAATTATTATGCCTTACAGCCTGAGACGGTTAGCATTACAGCAGTTACATGAAGGACATAATGGTGTGAATAAAACTGTACTTAGAGCTAAGCAGTTAGTGTACTGGCCTGGGTTGGATAATGAAATAAAACAATATGTGTTGAGTTGCAAAATTTGTGATAGGTTTAAAAATTCTAATACAAAAGAGCCATTACAGCATCACCAAGTGGCTAAACTACCTTTTGAAATTATAAGTTCTGACATATTGACTTATGGTGGTAAAGACTATGTTGTTGTATTTGATCATTATTCAAAATGGCTAGAAATAATCAAAATAAATTTTAAAACAGCTCAAGAAGTTATACAACAGTTAAAAAAGATCTTCAGTACACATGGGTATCCACAAACAATATATTCTGATAATCAACCTTATAGCTCTGATGTATTTAAGCAATTTTGTGTAATGTATAATATAAATTTACTAACGTCTAGTCCTAGATACCCTCAATCTAATGGGACGGCAGAAAGAGCAGTACAAACTGCCAAACAAATGCTTAGGAAAGCTGATTTTGAAAAAAAAGAAATACTAGACATTTTGCTTGAGTATAGGTGTACAACTTTACCACAGATCGGAGCTTCACCTTGTGAATTAGTCATGAGTAGACTATTAAGAACTAAGTTTCCAGTAAATGAGAATACTTTAAAACCTAAAATTCAAGTTAATGATGAAAACAGAATGTTAAACTATCAAGCCAACTATAAAGAATATTATGATAAAAGAACTAAATCCAAAGATGAGTTTAATGCAAATGATGATGTGGTTGTAAATGATGGAAGAGTATGGTTACCTTGTAAAGTTTTAAGTAAATTAGATAATTATCCAAGGTCATATGTAGTCAAGCTACAAAATGGGCAAATAGTCAGGCGTACATCATATCATTTACGTCACACGAAGGGACAACACTATGTTGAAAATTATGAAGACAATGATGATATAATATTAGGAGTAAGTAGTAATGAAGAAGTGGTGAGTAAGGGATCGAATGGTGAAATAACAAAAACAAAAGTTGGAAGAGTAGTTAAAATACCAACCAAGCTAGATATTTATGATCTCAGTAATTAACTAAGTTTTGTTTTTATATAGTTTGTCTAACTTTTAATGTTGTATTATTAATTGTTATTTATTAATGTAATTATTTTTATTACTATCATTTATATTATTATTTATTAATGTAATTATTTTTATTACTATCATTTATATTATTATTTATTAATGTAATTATTTTTATTACTATCATTTATATTTTTACTTATTAATGTAATTATTGTGCAAAACAACTGCTAATGTATCTGTTGTATCTTAAAGGGAAGGATGTTGTATGATAGCAGTGTTATCAATTGTTCATACAACATACATATAGTCAGTGTTAAGCACAAGTGAATGTAAGCCATAAGCACGTGTTAAGTTACAATAAATAAGTTACAAATAATAAATAATACGTTTAGTGTATAACATAAAACACCGTTTAGCTATCAATTTTAATATTTATATCATAAATTGTACAACTAATTTGTATATATGTTCAAAGGGTTTAATCCGTATAATGTATATTTAATAAAAATAAATAAATAAAATAATCAATTTTCGACGAATTTTATCTGAAAATAATTTATGAATGAAAATGTTGTTATTATTTAAATCCTTGGATACGCTATACTGTCCTATGATATATAGAATCCCACCGGCTCTACCATTGATTATAAATACTTGCCGGTTTTTCGGTGGCCCGAAATATTTACTCCTAGTATACTATAGTATACTATACTCCAGGGGTGTCTAACGCGCGGACCGTGGTAGATTTTGATACGGCCCTCACTTCAATTTAAAAACCATTAAGTAATTATATATAATAAATCAATATTACGAAAAAAATTTACTTTAAAAATATAAAACTACAAAATATTAATCATCTAATAGAGATAAACGTTATTAGTGTTTTATCTTTATTGGCTCCGATAGCAATATTCCGTATCATTTATCAACAAAAAAATATCTGCTTATTATTCGCTATAGTAAAATTATAAAAAAATGTATTGTTGTATTATAGAATATAATACTGTAACGACGTGGTCTGGTATGACCCGTTAAATATAATATATTCAGGGAAGAAATTAGTTCTTTTTAACATATTTTTACCGTACCTAATGGTATTAGGATCTTAATATTACAAATAAATAACGATTAATCTAAATTATTATTAGTTCAAACAAATGTATTATTATCTACAATATACGAACAAAGTTACCAAAAATGTAGGATTGTACGGAGTTCCAGTGCGAATTTCCAGTGATGGAATCGCGGGGAACTGGCTTTCTCTTACACAGCGATATGGGCCGGAGCCTTTCAATCATAAAATATATAAGTAACACCTAAACCGGAGTGGCTTAATATATTATAGTCGGCGCATAATATGCCTATTGTGCATATTATGATGCTTATAGAATAAACGTTATGATGTAACATGCGTTACAATACAATCGTTCAATTTGAATGTATTATTAAAAAAAATGTTTCCCACATCAACTTCTACCCATATAATGTTACCCAGTCTTCACAAAAGGTTGGACACCCCTTCTATACTCTATTCTCCTTAAGTTGACCCACTTGCTCGACGAAAACCGGTCGAGGCCGCACAGGCCGCTGAGTCTTCGGAGCGCTAGTGGTGATCGTTGCCAGTAGCAGCTGCCTCCTACTACGACGAGCACTGCCGACCGCCAAACATCGCTGATCAATCACAGCCCGCCGGTCTCCGACCGTTCCGGCTGCGCAAGTGTGTCAACTTTCGGGGAATTGAGTACACGACCAACTTAAGACGATGACCGGACTTTTTACGAGTTTGCGTTCGTTTCGTTTCGTCCGGCACAGTCTAAACAAACCCCCCGCATCTGATTGGCTGACTGGTTTTTGACTGTTACAAAAACACGAGGAATGTGAAGAGGTCGCGGTGTTGATATGGATGTGTCTTACTTGTGAATTCGACCGGTCATCGTCTTAAGTTTGTTGTAGTATAGATGGCAAGGCGATGTGACTACTAGCGACTACAACGGTACTCTACATTACTAACCACAAGCCCGCTCCCAACCTATGGTACCCCGGCTTAGGTTACATATTTTCAAAGACCTTAAAGGATTATCGGTTTGTCTCATTATAATTATACAATGAAGATATTAACACTCGAAATAAAATGAAAATAGATAAAGTATTGTTAATCATTAGATTTGGTTGATCTACCATATAAGTTGTTTATATTTTTTGTAATTTTTGCAGTTAAATGTAGATATTGGGATATTGTTTTAGTAAATCAAATCCTGTTTAACAAAGTGTACTTGCTTTTAAAGTTTTATATGTTTGAACTTTGAACTAATATGTTATTTTCCTTACGTGTATTATATGTTCTAAATTCAATGTTAAGGGGATTCGATCCGGTGATTTAATAAGGGGTCGTGTATAGGCAATTCGATGTTTTATAGTCGTTTCGCAGTGTGTTTGTGTGCGAAATAAATGATCATTAGTGTGCGTAGATACGTTCGGAATCAGTGGTTCGCACCCGCATGCACATGTCACATAATAAAATATTTGTTCCAACGAGAAACTAATTTTAATCAATTGAGACCTAAAAGCCTGACAAAAATACGATAACTTAGAATGATCGGATTTTAGTTCTGTAAACATATTTGAATTCATCATTCTTTTTTCTAGGTTATTGTGGGAGTCGATTTTTGAATAACTGTTTTAATTTTTTAAAGAAAGACACATTTCAAAAAATTGAGAAATCGAAATATGATTTAACGTGAATTATAAAAAAAATATCGAAAATTGATTCCCACAATAACCTAGGAAAATTGTCAATGAACTCGAATCTTTTTACAGAATTGAAATCTGATAATTCTAAGTAGGCGTATTTTTGTCAGGCTTTTAGGTCTAAATCATGAAATAAATACGCTGCATCGAATCCCCTTAAGTAGATTTAATTTTAAGACATAATATAGTGAATTTCATTGGAATAGTTGTTGAATATTAAAAACTATGAAATCTTTAAATTGGTTTTTAGAAAGGAAAGTTTTTGGTTTGCTTATGTTTTTTTTTTTTTTTTTTTTTGAACTATTATTAGCTTATTACTTTCTACTATCCCTAAAACTCCCCACGCTGATATCCCAAAATATAGTAATGACTATTTCATGGCAGTTTGTACCTAAATAATATTAATTTATAAAACGATTTCATGTTTCAGAACTGTTTGTAAAACCGAAGAAGGAATAAACACAATTGATACCCAAATAAAAACTGAAACAGAAATAAAAACTGAAACAGAGATAAAAACTGAAACAGAAATAAAAACTGAAAATGATTTTATCGAGAATTATGAATTCGAAGGAACAGTTTTGAACGATAAATACCCTTCAGAATTCATTTCTCGTATGAATTCGGACAAGAGATCCAATTTAAAGAACAAGCAAATAACCTGCAAAGTGTGTGGTAAAGAATTTTCTAATTCAAATACATTTCAATTCCATAAGAAATATCATGCTAAAAGTGATCATATTAAATGCAACACGTGCAATGTATCATTTGATTCAGAAGGACTTTTGACAAGACATATGAAGATTCATTCCAGTGAGAGAGAAAAGCCTTTCATCTGTGATATTTGTAATAAATCGTATTATACTAAATCACATTTGAAATCCCACATACTTCTTCATACTAAAAATACCCCATATATATGTGATAAAGGGTTTTATCAAGCAGAACATATAGCAAATCATACTAAGGCCCATATCAGAAAAAAATCATATAAATGTGTTACCTGTGATAAAGTATTTTCTCTAGCAGCGCATTTAGCAAATCATACTAAGGCCCATGCCAGAAAAAAATCATATATATGTGATATATGTGATAAGGTTATTGATCGAAGGTGGTCTTTCATACGCCATGTTAAGACACATATCGCAGGAAAATCGTATAAATGTGATATCTGTAATAAATTATTTTCTCGAAAAGATGGTTTAAAAAACCATAAAAATATACATACTGGAGAAAAGACATTTAAATGTGATGTCTGTGATAAAAGATTTCGTCGAGCAGAACAATTAAAATGCCACGTGAGGACACATACTGGAGAAAAGCCCTTTAAATGCGATATTTGTGACAAAGGGTTTGCTATTATATCAAAATTAACTTTCCATAGAAAAACACATTCTGGAGAAAATATATTTAAATGGGACATATGTGATAAAAGTTTTTATTTAACAAGAAGTTTAAAAATGCATAAGAGGATACATTCTGGAGAAAAGTTGTTTAAATGCACTATTTGTGATAAATTCTTTTATCGAGCAGACCATTTAAAAATCCATACAAGGACACATACTGGAGAAAGGCCATTTAAATGTGATATATGTGATAAACGGTTTAATGGGTCAGGAGATTTAAGAAAACATAACAGGACACATACTGGGGAGAAACCATTTAAATGTGACATATGTGATAAAATATTTTCTGCATCAAGTAGTTTAAGAGTCCATAAGCGAAAACTTCATTCTGGAGAAGCCATATAAATGTAAACTCTGTGATAAAGTGTTTTCTCGACCACATGGTTTAAAAATCCAAAAAGGATATATACCGATGAAGAGCGTTAAAAGTTCAATCATTAACCATTGATTCAATTCATAAATCAAGCAGGTTCCGGTACAATAATATGTTGCAACCCTCAGTTAAAATCTATGGTAACAGTAATTTTATATTTTTCATATTGTTAGTTTTAATAAGCCATTTTATCCATTTCTGTGTCTGTACAATTTGAATTATACTTTTTGAAATTAATACCTTTGAAATATTTTTATTTGTTTTTACATTTAATTGCTATACTGCTGTAATGGTGTGAAACACCATTGCTATATTTATATTTTATTCTTTTATTATAAGTTTACGAATATTATATAATATACCCAGCCCAGTCATATAAATAAGTATAACTATTTTGATTAATTAACAACATTTATATTAACAATCGCTTGGACTACTATACTCTATTCAGAATAAGAATTCCCACTTTTTCGCATGCAACT